GGGGGGGGGGGGGGGGGGGGGGGGGGGGGGTTCTTACCTTCACTTCCCTTCACTCCACTCCACTCAGCCATTACATGGAGTGAAGAGAAGGTAAGTATTCAATGCTGCAGTGGCTGACCTTTTAAAGTAAACCTTTCCATCGTGGTTTCTGTTCCAGCGTTTTTTCCGATCTTAAAGAGAGACCATCACCAGATTTATATGGTGTCTGAAGAGATTTTGATACGCTGCGTGTGATTTATGTTTCTAAGATGTATAAGACCGTAGGGACAGATATAGCTGCACACAGTCCTACAGTATTGTCGGCAACTTCCTAGCAGAAGAGGTTTATGTACACTGTAAAGATGGTGTGATAATTTTTTTTTTTTACTACCTGCTGTATGTGTTTTCAGTACAAAATGGGAGTGTCCACCAGAAAGATGGCGTTAATGATGATGAATTTGAACCATATCTACATACACAGGAACGACAGGTAATCACTTTTTTGCTTCTTTGCTGTGTGACTTCCTTCCCTTTTATTTTAACATGTATCTGAAGTTTCTACCTGAATAAAGGGGTCAAATATTTGGTCTTTTCATCTTGCTCTGCACTGGCCTCTGAGAGGAGCCAGGTGGAGCACACCGCTGCAGTAATGTCTACTGCACAATGATTGACATTTAGCAGACATAATGCATAGCTAAACTACTATACACAGGTTTGCATGAATGTGAAAAGTGGAAGACCATAAGCCAAATGCTGTGACTTATATCTGTTTGCAGTTCAGATTGCACAGCATAAGACACTAGTCCCAGCTCCTCTTCTGTACTCTTGCTTTGTATAGGTGCATAATACAGCAGGCATCACCTAATACAGCAAGTCAGTTTGACTCACTGAGCACCAACACTGCATTTATACACACAGAGCAACACAACTCATAGTACATGGTGTTAGCTGTGGTTCCTGAGTCCTAGGATTCCGTGTGCAGAGGGGTTGGGCTGTGCAGTATCTCCTCATCCAGATGAAACTGGCTCTATGGAAGTTATTTGCACAGCAGGATGCATCAGCTGTGATTGACACCTGCGAAAAACCCGGGTTTCTGCAGACAGGAAATGTGCGGCAGCTTTATTTATATATACAGATATTTGATAGATAGATGGATATATATATCCTAATCCATAAGCGCAGATTTTACATATTTCATTTCAGACAGGAATTGTGCCTGCTTTAATGCCCTTCAATGAAAAATTGGAGACACAGCGGCACAGTTTTTCTACAAAGCTCCAAATGCAAATGGGACAGAACTGGTGAGGCTGAAATTCTGCTTTAAGAATCGTGGCTAAAGTTGTATTGGAGTGGGTGACACCTCCTAAAGGAGTTGCCTCTGCAGGTGGCTGAGACTGGAGGCAGAATGCTTTCTGTCAGAAAAGTGTTTTTAAAGCCGTCAGTATATATTGAAATATTTGTTTAATATTGGCTCTATAACTAGCATGAACATGTCGTTAATACTGTACAGTCTGACTTGGCTGTCATTTTAAGCATTATTAAACTGAAATGAATCCTTGATTATTTGCTGCTGCCAATTGTGGATATTTGAATTTGCAGAGTTTTTGTTCTGGTTTCTCAGTCTATTTTTCAAATCTGTGACAGATGAAAGTAAATAGACTTTTCCTGTTTTCCAAAGAGAGTACACAAAAGTAACTTTTTTTTGCTGAATGTACAGTATAAAACTAGAACTGATTTTTACAGAAGTAATATAATTTTAACACCCTGATGTCAATTTTGCAGTGCTAGAAAACCGTGTCAGCTGCCAAAGAGCCAGTTTGCATACTGAAGAGTCTCCAAAGGTTCTTTGGTTTTTGATACCCAGTTTTTTCCTCTGTACATGCAGTGTGTTAATGTACTAGTCAGGTGATTGATGTAAATAGACTTATAAAAGGAAGCCTGGACTGAGATTGGATGTAGTCTGCCACCACTTACTATTATTCTAAAATACTAGTTCCCTGGTTCTTGTGTTGATCAAAGAATTCAATACTTTGAATTACTGACCTGGAATGCTGTTGTTAATGGGTAATGACCTATGGAGCTGGCCTTTGCTTTTTTGTTTTCTTTTTTTAGGCTTAAGCTAAGTAAACACATTTTTTTTTAAAAACCCTCCTCTGGTCCCTAGAATGAGCTTTGCTCTCTAACTTTATACCGCAGAGCCGACCCCATTTTTGTGCTTTCTTCACAGAATACCTCTTTTAGTGAAGTATGTGGAGAGGAGAATTGCCACCCTATCAGTGAGCATAAGGATCAGCTAAGGGAAAACGCAGGATGAGGAAACTTTTTTTTATCTTCAAGGCTTACTTCCTTGGAAGATATGAACAATCTCTTAAGGATTATATATAAGACTCTTGACATTCTACACAAGAAAGTGTCTTTGTCTCGCTGTATGATTGCAGGTATTCAACCTTAGCGAGGTGTCATGATTTTTTTTTTTTCTTCTTCCCAGTCCACAATATGCTCTAAGACTCGATTGATCCATTTCATTGTATCATTTAACTGCTGCCTGGGTGTGTCTCCCTTACAGGTGTTGGTCCTTACTGACTGCACTGGTTACAACCTTCAGGCTATTGGTGCAACCCAGAGTTTACAGCACTTTCACACCCCATAGTGAGGATTTTTTGGCTGGACTGCAATGGCCTTATCTCTCTTGGATTGAAGCCATGTAGGCCACATACATGGATATATTTCAGTGGCTAGGTGAAACTACATGCAAATTTCCTTGCCATATGGTGTCATGGGAGTGGAAGGCTGTCTCTTATGGTGCGTCTACAGCTCTTGCACATATCTGTTTCCTTCATGCATAAGGCGTGCATACCTCTGAGGCACTTAAGCCCTACATTTTTAGGTTTGCTTCAGGTGTGGGCTATATTACAGTTGATGATCACCATTGACTAAGCGGTTAGTATGCTACAGCTCAGACGCATTTTGGTTGGTAAGGGTTTGAGTCTGTATTCCCATCTTCTTGGTAGAATGGGACTACACCAGGACTCTGGCCTAATCGCTTCTCGGCCTTTTGGCTATGATCAAGTGTAATATCTGTTCTTATCAGTGGTTGGAGGGGAGAGGATGTTGCCACCCGATGGGAGAACATTCTAGTACCCTCTGATGTAATGGTGGGTGTCGGAGGACGGTTCGGTCCACTGCTAGTTGCGTCAGGCCCTGATGATCGGGTAGACCCTAGACAGTGGGAGGACCCCCCCCCGCCGGCACTACCTCCTGATGTGAGCGGAGAACCACAGGGTCTGGCCAGAGGGTTCAGGGGCGGCAGAAGCCTGTGGTGTTGTGCCCCCTGGGGGTGGCGTCCCAGGGGTGCTCAGAAAGTCACATGGGTATGGGACCCCACAGGACTCACTTTAGCACTTGGTCACACACCACATTGCAATTTTCTGCACTTCGCCTCCAAGACAGGCCTTATGGCTAGTCTGGGGCAATATTTTTGCACTCCGGCCCCTAAGGCCTGTCAGCGTGGTGCACTGGCACTTTAGATTTATTTAAGCACTCTATCCACGTTTGGCACTTTTTTATTTTAAATTTTGACCCACAGATGCTGAAGGTGCAGGTTTCTTCGGGGCCTATTCCTGATGCTGGGAGGAGATTCTGTGCCTCCTATGGGGTTCTCTGTCTCCACCCACCCAGGAGGGGGGTTTCTCTTCGGGAGATCCCCCTGCCTAGTACTGTGAGGGACCTGCTCCGGCAGGTCCCCGAAGGAAATGGGGCCACCGGCCTTCGGGTTGGTGGGCCAACAGTCTCAACCCCTGTCAGGAGCCTTGCGCCCCGGGGGGTCGGGAAAGTAGGTCCTTTCTTTGGAAGGACCTTGCACCCTTGTGCACGTTTTTGTGTGCTGTGATTTCACGGTTGCACTTTTTTTGTTCACAGGGGGAAGTTTTGATGCACGTCCACGGGCTTCGATAAAAGGACTCTGGCCTAATGTTTTTTCTGCAGTATGTTTTTTTACATACATTATATTGGCAGCTGGTCACCTATGTGTTTTGTCAAATCTCTGAGCCAACTTTTCTCTGATCATTGTATCCCAGGCACTTTTTAAATGTTCTACCAGTACCTAACCTGTAGGTTTTAAGTTTCACTTTTCAGTCACCTACCATGTGCGAGTTATGGTGGATCTTTTGTCCCCAGTAAATGAGGCAGCTCTTTGGAGATTGGTCCTCACTTGGTAGTATTTTTGGGTAAGAATCCACAGCAGAAGTGGGGTTTTTTTCCTCTCGGACATGGCATTTAATTGTGTTGATGTAGCCGTGGGGGTCTTTATGGTTAAAGCACCATTGTTTTGTGATGTAGTTATGAATCTCAGTATTTGTAATATTTCCTGAGTTCATACTTTGTGCAGTTGTATAACTATCTGTAGAATAACTGATTTATTACTCAGCCTGCAAATGTACTTTTTTTTCTGCATAGTGTTTTGTCTACAGTGGTTCCTGCGGAGTATTTGTTTGGATGTAGATCTTCATAAATGTCACAAGAGGTTTACACGGGCATGGGTTATGTCTTGCAATTCAGTGCTTATTTTTTTTTTTTTTGCAGTATTGCAGCCAGTTTGTTGCAACAGTGAACTTTTCACAGCCTATTTATATGAGAACTTAACCCTTTACATGTCTAGCGTTTGCCTCATGCACACTTTTGTTGTTCATTTGCTACCACAGGTTTAATTCTACATGACTTCCCACATTGTCGATTTTTGATATCATGTTGCAGACATTTGTATAACTGGTTTTCAGCAACTAGTTAATTTTGCAGCATTAGGCACTTTACATGTCATGTGGTCTTCTTATAGAATCTTGGTGGTATCTACTTTACGCTACATTGATAAACCTCCTTTCTTGACTTTTTACAAGTATGGTGTAAGTCTGTTTCAGAGATTTTCGACATGAATGCAACTTCTGCTTATGCAGCAGCACTTGGGTGCAGCCAGTTAGTGTTTCAACAAGAAGACCTTTTACATGACATGCATTGTAATTTAGCACTTCTGGTTGCATCGATCCTGTACCAAAATGACTTCCTATATAGCTGTTATGGAAAGTCTATATTGCAGAGTTTATGGCTTTTTATGTAGTGTCTTTGTCCTTTGCATTACAACACATATTTTGGTACAGTAGTATAACCAGTTGATATACACTTCACGGTTTGCTTACTTATGCTGTAGTCCTTGTACATGTCCCTTTTTTTTTTTTTTGGAAGTATTTTTTTATTTTAGTATATGCTCGGGTTGATACTACCAATACTGATTTACTACTAGCATACTTGAGGTCTTTGTAGACTTGATCCTCATCAGTACCACCATAGTTGCCTACAGCTGTAGATGTAGCTTTTGCTGGAGTACAGTAGTTATGTTCTTGGTAGGCCCAGCTCCCCACCTCTTGGTCCTTCTAGCTGTCGCGGGGGTATGGTGACTTGGGTTGATAGTTGCACCACCATGACACTAGGTTGTAGCAGGGTGGCTGGTATTCCTACCTAAAGGGGGGAGCTAAGCTCAAAGTATAATATTCCTCAATACCTTCACCTAACTTTTGTCAGTACTTTACTTTCAGGCTATGATGAAACTTTACATTTTCAGCTGCAAATCAAGCCTTCATTGAGAAGAGAATGCAAGAATTGTGCATAATCCCCCCCATAAGCACAATTTGTTCTTGGCAGGTTGTATTTAAGAATCCAGTCTGATGGTTCAATAAGTTCCCTTATTTCCAATGGGGCTTGTGTGTGTCCATGGTGGACCACAAGCTCACTAGGCTTTGGTCTTTTTTTTTTGTTTATAAAATGTATTTCGCTACCAAGTCAGTCCTGTATATCTTCATACAAAGTTAATCACAGACTATTTGTTTTTGTTTTTGTTTTTGTTTTTTGACACTGACTTGCCTTGTAGTTGGTCTCAATCTTTCCTTTTCATATGTCTGGTCCGCCATGTCTGTAGTTTCCAGGGTCAGCCCGGTGGGAAGGAAAATTATCGGAACTTTTTGTCCCTCCCAAAGTCTAGTCAGTTCTCGCTAATCCTCTCGTGTGCTGTCCTGGAAAGACTATTTTGGAAAATCAGAATTTGACTTTCCAGTAACCTGTTACTAGGAGTCTTTCCAGGACAGCAAAGTTCCCACCCTTGAAGTCTGTACTTTTGTTTCCTTTTGTATTCAAATTGAGTCCTTTTTGCTTCTCATCTAATACTGACCAGTTCAGCAGAAGGACTTCCTTTTAAGATTTGGTAATACATTTCCTGTTCCTGTGGGAGGAGGTGCTTATGTGCTGTCCTGAAAATAGTTACCGGTAAGTCTTCTAAGGGTCCCCACACACCTTACGATAATCGTACGATCGCGGGATTTCCCACGATTATCGTAAGGTGTGTGGAAGCCGTGCGACCTCTACTACTGTAAGGTCGCACGACTTTAAACTTACGGACATGTTCGAAAACCCGCCGAGCATCGTACGATGTTCGGCGGGTTTGTGGCATGTCCGTACGATAACAGCCATACGGGGCGGTGTGCACAAGCGCACACTGCCCGTTTGGCATTGCAGTCATCGGGAGCCCACCCCTCAGGGGGCGTGGCTTGTGATCATCGCAAGTACGATCTGCCTATGCAACATAGGCAGATCGTACGTTTTTTTTTAAGTACCTTACAACCATCGCAAGACAAAAGTCTTGCGATGGTTGTAAGGTGTGTGCCCAGCCTTACTCTGATTTTTTTTTTTTTCTTTAGCATTTACCTTTTTATGTTTGCTTAGTCATCTATTTTAGTTGTCAGGAAGGTATTAACTTAGCATATCCTTGCGATTTTTTTTTTTTTTAACTTTTCTTTCTGCAGCAAGATCTAACTGTTTCAAGAAAATGTACAGATTGGCTCATAAAAAATAAGATATTTATTGAAGGCATGTTTATGATGACCTTCGGCAATGAATCCCGTCACTTTTTTTTTTTTTTACAAGGTTGTGTGGTGTTTTTTAAATATGTACATTTGCTGTTTTTCTTAACATTTTTCTTCTGTTTTTACTCTAGAATAATGGCTACACTGCCCTGTCCGACTCATACCTTCCTAGTTATTATGGTCCAGCCATTGGATTCTCTTACTCTCTAAGTGATGCCGCCTGGTCTACTGGAGGGGACCCGCCACCAACTATGCCTTTTCTTGCCTCTTATGGACAGTTGGGCAGCAGTGAGCCGCACTTTTTGCCAGATGCCATGTTTGGACCGTTAAGCAATGCACCTTTTTTGGGGCAACCTGGATTTAACTTTTTTCCTAGTAGCATGGACTTTTCAGCCTGGGGTAGTGGAGGAAACTCTCCTGGCGCATCTGCTCCTAGTTCTGGTTACGGTAGTAGCTATGCATATGCTCCAAGCACTTTGGGAGGAGCCGTTTTGGATGAGCAAACCAGTTTTGGTGGTGGCAAAGCAGTTGGCAGTCTAGAGCAGAGCATGGGGGCATTAAAACTGGCAGAAGGAAATGGTATTAAAACAGGTGTAAACAACCTTCCCCCTGCAACCATTGCTCCTCCAAAGCAAGCATCATGGGCAGATATTGCCAGTAAGCCTGCCAAGCAGAGTATTGGAAAGACTGTTCCTCCACCTGTGAAGCACAACATGGAGATTGGAACTTGGGATAATAAAGCACCTTCCAATAGCTGCCAACCACCATCACCTCCAGTGGCACAGCAGCCTATAGTGACTTCAGCTTCACATCCTCCTGCACGTTGGTCAGCCCCGCGTAATCGAGGGTCAGAGCAAAACCAGGCCTCGCATACTTCATCGGATCCTCATCCTGTTCTTGAGAAACTGCGTTCACTCAATAACTATAACCCCAAGGATTTTGACTGCAACCCAAAATTTGGACGTGTGTTTATTGTTAAAAGCTACTCGGAAGATGACATACATCGTTCCATCAAATACAACGTGTGGTGCTCCACTGAGCATGGCAACAAACGCCTGGATGCAGCTTATCGTTCTCTTAATGGCAAAGGTCCAGTGTACTTGCTTTTCAGTGTTAATGGTAGTGGTCACTTCTGTGGTGTGGCAGAAATGAAATCAGCTGTAGACTATAACACCTGTGCAGGTGTGTGGTCTCAGGACAAATGGAAGGGACGTTTTGATGTACGTTGGGTCTTTGTTAAAGATGTGCCCAATGGGCAGTTACGTCACATCAGATTAGAGAACAATGAGAATAAGCCTGTTACCAACTCTCGAGACACTCAAGAGGTTCCTTTGGAAAAGGCTCGCCAGGTTCTTCGAATCATAGCCAGCTACAAACATACCACTTCCATATTTGATGACTTTTCACATTACGAGAAGAGGCAAGAGGAGGAAGACAGTATCAAGAAGGTACTATTCTATTTCCTACTAAAGCTTGTGACCTTTCTGTGCTTGCGCTTTGTTGTGAAGGTGCATGCAATGTTTAATTACATATAGGAAAAATGGAAACGATTTACATTGGGTTTGGATTCAAATGCATTGCTGCACCCCTTATAATGTTATTTTTAAAGCCCTCAAATCTATTTGTACTGAGTCAGTTAGTGATATTAAACCTTTTGTGTGGGTTTTATTTTGTGGCGGTCCACACTTATCTGAGTCCAGTGTTCTTCTTTAACCACTTAAAGACCAAGTGTTTACACCCTCTTCCTGGCCAGGCAGCCATTTTTCAGTATTCAGCGCTGCGGTAATTTGACTGACCTTTATTCCGTCATGCAACACTGTACTGAAATGAATTTTATACCATTTTTTGGGGGGCAGATAACAGCTTTTCATTTGGTGGCATTTAATCACCACTAGGGTTTTTTTAATTTTACTATATAAAGGAAATATCATAAATTTAGGTCTCGTTCACACCTAGGCGTATTGCATATGCGCGTCTGTCACCGCGATTCGCGGTAAAAAGTCGCGTGACAAACGCGCTTTTCCGAAGGCTACTTGGCTGTATCCCAATGGAAACGCGCAACAAAACGGCCGAATGTAGTACATGTACCTTTTCAGGCGTGGGCCGTTTTGTAGGCGTTAGGGACGGGCGGAAATACGCCAAGGTGGGAACCAGACCATTGAATGCAATGGGATTTATATTTTTGAGCGTTTTGTAGAGCGTAGAACGTGCTACAAAACGTTCAGGTGTGAACGAGGGCTTGGGTGTGTGTGATATTTTTTTAAAAACATTGTTAAAATTGTATTACCCAGTTTTTTGGTAAAATATAAAAGACGGGTAAATTGATGCCAAACACGTCAAATCTTAAAATTGGCCGCACCTGCGATATGGCAAAAAACTATCATACCCAAAATGTATCATGGGCGATGCTTTCAAAGCTTTTACCGCTCATCAGTTTAGTGTTATCAGTGATTGATTGCCCTAGAATTATTGCTCCCACTCCGACGTTCGCGGCGATACGTAAATTGCGGTGTAATGGTTGCAATCCTCGTTTTTGCATGTATACAAACCCGAGGCATGTTTGTGCGTGTGTTTGTGGGGATGGGAACTTTAAAACCTCCCTTTTTTTTTTTTTTTCTTATCACACGGGGCTAAGAAGCTCCCTATGTGATGCAAAGAGGATGTGACAGGTCCTCTTTATGGAGTCTTTAGGACCCCTAATGTCGGCTAGATACCCCAAAGACGCTGATGAAGCACACATCTGCTTCTCTCCAGCTTCTGAAGCCAAAGCATGACAGCAGAATGCCGAAGTGATGTAATATTCATCACTTCTGCATTCTAACACTGGAGAAGAGATCGGAGGGACAATGTGTGCTAATCTCCCTCTGATCCCCTGTCAGAGCCACCGTGCTGGTCCCGGGCTCGGGACCAGCGGAGGGGGGGGTGCACCTACCAGCAGCTCTATAGCCGCCGGATCGCTTGTATGTAAACAGGCATTATTGCTTGTTGAAACATTTTGACAGTTTCCCGCTTGTGTGCGGCGCGTACGAGAGGCCGGTGCTAACAGGCCGTCTTTAGATGGCCTGTTACATCGAAGCAGCTGCCGACCGTTTAATCACCACGGCCGGCCGGGAAGCTGTTAACCACTTCCTGTCCAGGCAATTTCTTGCATTTGCACACACATGATAAAAAAATTTTGGCTAGAAAACCGCTTAAAATCCCCAAACAATGATATATTTTCTGAAAGCAGAGGCCCTGTAGAATAATAGAAATGCTAGTTGCAATTTTTTGTCATACGGTATTTGCACAAATTGTTTATCAAACCGGTATTTTTAGGATAAAATACACTAAAATTAAATTTAGTGCACCGAAACAGAATATAATAGCCAATAGGTGATGTTTTCAAAGCTTTTACTGCTCATCAGATTAGTGTTAACAGTGACTGATGGCCCTAAAATTATTGCTCTCACTCCGACGTTCGGGGCGATATATAACGTGTGGCGCAACTTTTGTGTTTGCACATGGGCGCATCGACTATATATGTGCGGGGGGCGGGGACATTTTCTTTTCCCCTTACACAACTTTTATTGCTATCACATACTGGACTAACAAGCCCCCTATGTGATAGCAAATATTTTGTGACGGGTGCTCTTTAAACAGACATCAGGGGTCTTTCAGACCCCCAATGTCACCTAGGGACCCCAAAGAAAACTGATGAAACCGAGATCGGCTTCTCCTGGCTCCAAGAGCCAAAGAATGTGCACAGTGACACTGGAAGTGATGTAATGCACATCACTTCCGGGTCCAGTTATCAGAAGAGATCAGTGGCTGGAAGCACTGCTCAGTACAAACGATCCGACAGCTGTACAGCAGTAGCCGTATTCTTGGTATAATCACTTTAAGCGGATGACGTGTATTTACATGATCCCGCTAGTGGTTAAACTGCTCTTCTTGCCTGTGCTCCAGCTATGCTAAGCTGTCAGGTGGGCTGTGCAGGTTCTATTGTGGGCTGCGCCCCTGGTAGTTCTACCACTGACTCCAAGCTGTAGAGCAGGGGCGCCCACTATTTTTCGTCTGGAGATCTACTTTTCAAATGACGAGCTCATTGAGATCTACCAACGAAAAAATACCTGCATTCAGGGGCGGGAGGGGGCATAGGCTGCGCAGGCAGGCCCCTCGCCCACAGTGCGATCGCCTGCATTAGTGCCTGTGTTCCAGTCCAGTGCGATCCGCAAAAATGCTGCGAGCACTATTTTTGCCGATCGCACTGGACCTAAATGCAGGCACTAATGTGCCTGCGTTCCGAGTGCGGGCGATCGCACTGTGGGCGATGCCATTGACTTCAATACCGCTCCACACCCCCTCCCGCACCTGAACGCAGGGAGTCGGCCGGCTTACATTCCAGTGCATTCCAGTACATTACAGGTCCCGGCGTCCTGTCCTCACGTGGTGCTCGTGTGGCCGACGTTGCACATGGGGTGTCCTAAAAAGTCTAAAAAGCCCCCTGATATTTCCCTTTTTAAAATAGAAAAAGAAATTGAGGACACAAAGTCCTGCACAGAGGCTTCCCATTCATTAAGAAAATATTTTACTATCAAGCCTCTGTACAGAGAGCTCCTCCCCATTGAGAAACTTATGAATGAAGAGGAGGTGATGTAAATCACATCCTGTTCATTCATTTATAACTGGGGACACATAGTACTATGTGTCCCCAGTTATTTACAAACACTGGAGTGATCAGCCGATCGCTCCAGTGTTTGTCCTGCACAGAGGATTGGTACATACTACTGACATGTACCGATCCTCTGCCGCTCGTCCACGCACAGGGGGGCTGCAACTTCTCTGGATCCCCCCTGCTCTCCCGGGCAGATGCAGCGGTGGGATACCACGAGCCGCAGGGGGGCAGAGCCGCTGTGACAGAACGGACGAGCAGTGAGGGGAGAGAGAGGCGCCGGCTGTCAGATCCTGGCAGAGCGTCTCTCTCTCTCTCCTCACTGCTCTGCATTAGTTAGTGACAGCGGCTCCGTCCTCCGCCCTCCCCCGCCGCTGGTTCCTTCACTTCTTCTCGGATCCCCGCTGGGGAGAGCAGCGGGGATCCAGAGAAGCGGCGGGAGGAGAGGACATGGCGATCTACCAGTGATCTCTACGCGATCGACTGGTAGATCGCGATCGACCTTGTGGGCACCCCTGCTGTAGAGGGACTACAAATCTCAGCAATACATTCTACAACCATGCTGAATATCGCCAGCTTTAGACCACAAATCACAGCAATACATTATACAACAAAGCAGAATGGCAACCAGCTATAGAGGACTACAAATCCCAACAATGCATTATCCATCCATGCATAATATGAAGCGACACACTCTGTACTGCTCCAGGGTGCTGGCTCGATATCTCCAGCGGAGAATCTTAGGTGGTGGTCTCAGGTTTTCCGCCCACCATAGAACCTGCACAGCCTACTTGAGTCAGGGCCTTGCTGGGCGACCTTGGCAGTCTTCCTGTGAAGCACGGTGTCTATTTAGAGTGCCAGCATCGGTTTAAAAACTGAAACCGCCGGTATCTGTGCTTTAGTATTGGGGCTTTTTCATGAGTTCTCTTGAAAATGCTTAGTATCAGCACTGATGAAATTTAAATTGCAATATATTCATCAATCCTTAGAAGTGGTGGCTGCATTTGTTTTCTTTTTTTTTAGGCCTCATTTTCTTTATTATGGCTGATGGTCTCACTTTTAAAGAGAGCCAGCTATGACTGGACATATGTGAGAAATATTGAGTCTGAAATGATCATACGTGTGCAGGCTTACCTGCACACGTATTGCTTTTCCTCCTGCTTTAAATTTAAACAAAAAACATTTTTTTTTTTATGCAAATACTCTGAAATTGCAAGTATAAAACTTGTGCATGTGTGCACACTTGCAAATTAGTATTGTCTTTTCCATTTGTCTATATTATGTATTAGCCATATACCATCTTGCAGAGTTTGTTCATCAGCACTATTGGGAGGTGATATTACTTCTGCCTGAGGGAGGTTCTCTTATTAGCGGGGCTTGAAAAATCCTTTAGTCTGTTACGAGAGGACGCCGGAGCCGGACGCGTAGCTTCCCGGCCAGCCCGGGAGCTTTACACTCAAGCGATCGGGCGTCTCTGGAGACGCCCAATCGCTTGTATTGGCAGCAGCTGTCACTGCTGTTGCCGGTCCCGAGATCCGCTGTGCTCGGTGCAGCCGGGACCGGCACGGCTGCTCTGTGACAGGAGATCAAAGGGAGATCGGTACACGATCTCCCTCTAATCTCCTTTCCAGTCCCCGAATGCAGCAAGTGATGTATCACTTTTGCATTCAGTGTCACTCTCCAGCTTCAGAGGCTGGAGAGAAGCTGATGAAGCAGATCTCTGCATACCGGGTTCGCTTACCTCTCGATCCTGTCACGGCTCTCTGCCGTGACAGGGGGAGGGGCTGGATTCCCCGCTCTGATCTGCCAGCGCTGACTGGCAGAACGGACGGGGGAGGGGGCGGGTACAGCTGGCTCTGCCTCTAGATAGGCAGAGCCAGCTGTCATTCACGCAGCTGGGCGGATCCCGACGTCCAGGTCGGGATCCGCTGCGGCGTCTCGGTATACCGCGAGCTGTAGCTCGCGGTATATTGAGCTTAGGGTAACGGGAGGACGCTAGTTTGTGTCCTCCCGTTACCCTAAGGAGAACTATTGGGAAAAACACTGACCCCATAGTTCGCCTTTTAAGGCAGTCATCTATTATATGAGAAGGGAGAACACAGGACAGAACTGGGCCACATTGTTTCCTGCAGTGATGGTCTCGGCCCCTTTATGCAAATTAAGAAGCATAATGACATACTTAACTGGAAGCATGGAAATCCTATGAGCTCTGGTCTGTGCAGCTTGCAAGCTCATACTAAGAAGTGATGGAGAATCCCAGATTTTGTTGCTATACCTGCAAAGTAGCTGGGGAACATACTGAGAAATCCACAGGAAGCCCAAATTTGCTAATCTGCATTCATACGCTTTTATTTTTTTTGCCATTTTCAGAGTTTCTTCTTTTTAAAAAAAATTAACTTTATTTTTGCTGTGAAGGTAATTTTGTGTATAGTAGTTTTAAATATTGTCGGAATTTATTATTGGCAAGTAAAAAAAGAACATTCAATTTGATAAAGTTTAAATATTGCATATGTAAATTTTGCATTTTTTTTTTCTCCAGCCAGCAGGTAGAGCTCCAAGTCTTTCACATGGTTGCTAGACACATCCATTATCTGCTGTGCTGAAGCTTGTTTATAGCGCTCAATTACGTAGGCCAGCCTTTCTTCGCCTTTAACCCAGCAGAACCCTTGAAATAATGTCTGGGGGAACCCCTGTATGATCACTGAATTGTAAAACATATCAAATATAATACATTTGGCACACCTAGCATATGATATATATATTATATATATATATATACATACATACATACATACATACATACATACATACATACATACATACATGTATATTTATTATTATTTGTATATATGTGTGTGTATCTATAGATATCTATCTATCTTGACAATTGTTAGGGTGTCTCACCAGTCAGCATGACCGGGTAATAGCCTTGCAATTTATGTTAAGACAGAGGACCTGTCATGTAAATAGCCAATTTACATGACAGTCCCGGCCGGCCGTGTAATTACAACGGCCGGCCGGGAAGCTGCTCGTCGGGCTCCGGCGTCCTCCGCCGTCCTCTCGTCATAGAGAGATCTAATTTTTTACAACATGTGCAGTAATAATCTTGAAAGTAGATAAATACCAGAAAGAAATGCAGTGAACTTGTGGTGTCCTCTAACATTAGTGGTCAGTGTAGCCATGACCGTGCCAGTGTAGGTAACGGATCAATTGGCTTGGAGTAGGGCTGCAGGTAACTTTTATTTTCATAATCGATTAGTTAGCCGATTCATTCGATTAATCAGATAAAATAAAAAAATTAATACAGTGATTTAAAATAAAATACACGAATGCAGCACTACAGACATAAAGTTTACTTTTGAATAAACAGTACGCACATTTTTTGATATAGCACTGGAACACGGGGCATTGCAGTACAGCGCGTTCCAGTGCGGACGATCACACTGCGGATGGGAGGTGCATTTGGGATCCATTGAAATGAATGGCACTGCAACGCACCTCCTGCAGCAAAATCTGTCAAGCTGAAAACGACTTTTCCCACCTTTTCATTTATATACATACAATTGGTAAAAATAGATATATAGATATCTTTTTAATAATTGTATGTATTATATTAGACATTTTAATTAGTTTCAAGGATTTAAAATAATGCAAATTGTATAATTAAGCCAATATTATAATTAAAAAAACCTTTTAAATGTTTTCTATTTTTAATTTTAGTTTTATGAAACTTTATTTTGTTGTTTAATATAATTTTTATTTTTTATTTTTACTCTATTGCTGGGAGCAATAGCCAGCCTGCTATTGGATATTTCAAATTGCAATAGCCAATAGCAGGCTGGCTATTTCATCAGCCCACTTTCTGCTGTCAATCAGCAGGGGAGGGACCTGAAGGAGAAAGTTCTCAATCAGGTCCTCCCATGCTGATAGACAGCAGGCAGTGCCTGTAGATGTAGAGGAGGGAGGGGGGGCGGACGGACTGGGGGGAGAGGAGGAACCCTTATCCCCTCTCTGCCTATTAAGAAAACTCCATACTAAGTTTAAATTGGTGATGATAAAACAGCTTCTACTGTTCTTTACAGCAGAACTCAATCTTTAATAATGTAATCCTTGGTATGGCCCACAGGGATCCTGTATGTAATACACTGAATAAGCCACAGCTTACAGCCTCTTCCAGGTCTTGATACCGCTACTATGTTGAGTTGAGCCCTGTGCTGTAAAGTGGTCACTCGCTGAGTATCAAGGCCATTGAGAGGCTACCTAGTAGTTTTCTCAATCAATACTAGGTGTTCTCTGATTGGGGTGGTGATGTCACAGCCATAGTTCCTATTTCTGTCCTCCTGGGACCTCTTATATGGCCCACAGAAGGTGCACAGACCTAGAAAGTAGAGCACGGGTCCAGGGGTGTGGAAATAAAAAAATAGTCCAAGGACTGAAATGGGGGGCCAATCTACTTGGCACCCATGAAAATCTACTTGTGCTCCAAAACATTTTGGTTGATTTTTACATTTTTTTATTTTATCCCTTTTTTTTTTTTACTTTATTGGGATCACACAGGGGATAACAAGCCCCAATGTGATGGTGTTTGAAGTGACAGGTTCTCTTTATGGAGTGTGCCCTCCAATACAGAATATAGAGCACAGCATTGTGCTTGGTCTCCTGTGCAGCCTGGCTTGTGATAGCTGAGACAGCACTCCCGTCTCACTGATCACACAGAGCAGATTGGAGAACAGACATTCTCTGGTCTACTCCCTGCGCTCCAACCTGAAGTCATTTGCCAAGGTCCCAGCTCCCCAGAGAATGGGGGACCTCGAAAACCACAGCGGGAAGGTGGGGCAGGGGAATAAGCAGACTGTACAACCGCCCAGATAACTTGTACGAAACGAGCGCCTGCTCTACATTAAGCCCTGCTTGCCCACAGTTTAATGTAGGAAAAAACGTTCTGCCCGGTGCCTGACGCTTCATGACCCAGGCATCGGCGCACTGCTGACAAATCTGCGGAGTTCCTGAGAGAGAATAAATTGTCCTACTGTCTGGTTTAGCTGTCTAGCATCTACCAAAAATGTAAATGACTGGAAATGATTATTTAATGGCAAGTAGGAGTTGAGCCGAGCTGGTCTGAAGAGAAACCTTTTAAAAACTGAGCTACTTACAAATCTTGACAATTCCTATGTCGGCTCATTATCATTGGTAATGTGACTGTGCAAGATGACATTACATCTAGTGAGTGTTCTTCAGCAGGGAAGTAATGATAGAATTGCTAATCTTATGACTTTTCTCTACTTATTCTTCTCTTTCATTTTTAGGTAGTTAAAAATTAGAATACCACGCCATGGTTAAGGTAAGCTGTGTATACACTTTACATAATGAACCCTGTCTGTACTGTGCTGGCAGATCTCATTTATGAGTTGTAAACTAGATTTAAACATTTTTTTTTTTAAGAGCTAGAAGAATTGTATGTTAATGAAGTGAAGCTGTCTGTCCCTGGTCTTTCTATTAAGACAGATTGTTTCCCACCACTAGCAAATTCAGAGAGAAGCTTGCAAAGGCTGCTACACAGACTAGGGATGCACTGATATATCGGCCGACGAAACACATCGGCCGGAAATGGCACTTTGGGGGTGAAAGTGCAATTTTTCAGCCGGTATAGCGGCGCATCCCTGCTTTCTCTTCTCCCCGCTGGGCACTGCTCTGTGTCCCAGCAGGGAGGAGATAAACTGTCACAGGTGGCCGAGCGCTGCGGGGCAGGAGAGCTCTGTGAATGGCCATCTCTCCTCCCCGCACCACTCAGCCTCCTGTCAAAGATCAGGAAAGCGGTGTGTGGGTGGAGACAGCCAGCGCTGTCACAGGAGGCCGGCCTGCGGTGTGGGGAAGTGGTCAACTGTCAAATCGAGCTCTCCTCCCCACACAGCTCGCTCAGCCTCCTGTGACAGCGAGTCAGGATGGAGAGCGAGTACAAACATTCAGTGATCGCTGAGTGTTTGTAAATAAGATACTGTTTTCAGTAACAAGGGGCTTAACAAATTGAATAAACCAAATGTTAAAAAAATAACCTCTGTATTGCCAGTGGTAGCAAATCTGCTGTCTTGTGTCTAGATAGAGCCTATATTCAAGAAATAGGTGCATCTTAACCCCTTCATGACTGACCTTTCTCAGTTTCTGTTTAATGACCGACGCACTTTTTAAATTTTTGCTGTGTGGTTCTTCCAGGTTGGTAATATACTTTCTTAATAAGGGCGCACACACACACATTATATTGTGGTTTTTTTAGAGGACAGATAGGTACAAATATGTGATATAAATATATATATAGCCCTAACGCCTCACTTAGTATGAAGAACATAAAAAAAGAGGAAAAACGTAAGTTTTTTTCCCCAGTGTTTTTTTTTTTTTTAAATAGCACATCTAAAGAATGCATTAAAATAAATTAATTTATTTGTCCTTGATTTGGAAACGCCTCGTATATCTCTAGGATTTCAGAAATGTGTCTGTACTTCTCAGCCTAAAACTACAAATATTATGACAGGATTAGATCTCACTAGGCTTCTGATCATCCTCAGACTATCAGAAGTTTGATACATTTCAACAAAAATACATTGTTTCTTATTGCTGGCTGAATAATGTAACAAAAGCCTATAAACATCAGGACTTGCCCAGGTCTATAGAGCTGTCAAAAGTGAAATGGCAAAAGCAGTAAGTCATGTTCTGCTTTTTCACCTGTCAAATGCCGGTTCCCCGGTATTTGTAAAAGCTTCTTTCTTTCATTGATGAAAGAAAGAAGCTTTTACAAAAGCTTAACTATTAATGGATAGTTTTTTTTTTCATTAATGGATGAGGCATCCACGATAACCGCAGATTTTCAGTGGTTACCGGCATTTCAAAACCCTGAATAGCTGCTCATGTACAGTGTACATGAGCAATCATTTGGGCACTTCATGATGAAGTACAGTGTACATCTCCAGTGGTGAAGGGGTTAAAGGCAGCCTGTGCTTTTGCCTCTACAGGGCAATGCCACAGGTTCCCTTTGAAATAGCCCTTCCCAGTAGTACATGCTTCCCTTCCTTTTGCTGCCCAGCCACTCCGCTCAGACATTGGAAGTGAATGAAAATCCAGTGTAGGTGTCAGTAACAGATGCAGGCACTGTTCAGGTATTCAGGCAGCCGTGGGTGTCACTGCTGTCTAGGGCACAGCGTTTTTTTGCAGATTGCATTGGACCTGAACGCAGGCACTAATGTGCCACGCGTTCGGGTGCCGTGGATGAAGGGGCGTGGCTGCGGTGCCATTGACTTCAAAGGTTTGCTTGAAGGGCAGTTAGTAAAGAGCGTAACCGTTTTATTAAAAGCAAAATATTACGCATTTCAAAACAATTTCCGATTTAGTTTGTAGTTCTCATGACTTCCTGTATCTTTTTTTTTTTTTTTTTTTTTTTTTTTTCAGGATTACAGAACAGACTTTCTCCTGCACACACGCGTGTGGAACATAAAGGACTTCAACCAAGCAAATGGATTATTACCACATTACAGGACAGACTGAAAAACTTGGGGCCAAAGCCTCCAAATTTTACCTTTCATTTTCAGGGATTGAACTATAGGATTCAATGCTGGGATGCCGTTCAATAAGTTTATACCCCCCCAGGATCTGAAAATCAAGATTGGATATTTTTTCTTTCCTCCATAGAGGCTGGAGAACTTCTCTACTACTTTTTTTTTTTTTTTTTTTTTATGGTATTTTTTTGCATTTTTATTTAGCTGTTTTGTGGCAAAAGCCCTAGTTTCTTTTCCACAGCTCCCAGTAAGCGCATGTGTGTGATTCTTGTAAGACTTTTTGTTTTGTGTGTGGGGTTTTTTCTTGCTATTCTCATATTGGTGGTACACGCACACTTAATGTAGATATGCTTTCACAATATATATTGTTGTTACGGTGGATAGAACGTATTTTGACACCACTTGTAGAAGTGACAGAAATGTTGTCGATCTATGATGGCTCTGCTGTAAGCACTTATAGATAAAACGATATATATGGTGCATGCATGTCTTTTCCTGCTGTACGTGTGCCCTCAAATATCAGGAGCATGCTTGGGCATAATAAATGTCTAATAATGTTCAATTTCTGTTATTTTGTTAAATTTAACACGGAACCGTGACTGCAGTTCTTACGTAGCCTGAATATAAAGGCTTTACTCATTGTTAACTCTTGTATACATAACGGTGAATTAAGATTGCAATCCTCACATGTGCTGTCATTGGCCTTTTGTGTTGTTCCAGGCTCATATTTAATCTCCAGCTAATGGTGGCCTTTTCACCATTCAGGTTTAAGAATGGGGTACTAATGTGCCCTGTCTATGTGTCATTAACTGTGTTCTTCATTTTAGGCCTGCACTTTTCTAGGGAAGATGTATTTAAAGCTGATCTGGCCTCATAACATTTGTTATATTAAGCAGAGATAGCAGCAGATGCTGTTTACAGAAAACTGAAAGTGACATCAAACTCAGGAGCTAATAGTTAAGATACTTGAATGTATGTTTAGGATTTAACAAACATATCTTATTTGTGTGTCACTCGGCTGTAGATCCTCAAGTCATCTGACTTGGTGCTGACACTGTCCTCCTTCCTTCTGGAGGGTGACTACTTTTTGTTCCCCATGGTCCCTGTGTGTGTTGTAAAGTAGCCACTGCTCCAAGATCACTCCTGTGATGGACTACAATCTCCATACAAGTTCGTAATCTAAACATGAGAATGTAGTCCATCACGGGAGCGAGCTTGGAGCAGTGGCTACTTTACAACACACACAGGGACCATGGGGAATAAAAGTAGCTACCCTCCAGAAGGAAGGAGGACAGTGTCAGCACCAAGTCAGATGACTTGAGGATCTACAGCTGAGTGATACACAAATAAGGTAATTTTTTGTTAATAGTTAAGGTACTTGAATGTTTTTTTTTTTTTTTTTTTTTTTTTTTACTCCTGAGTTTTTAGTGTCACTTGAATCTTAAAGCTGAACTCCAGGATAAGGAAATATTGTCTCAACTCAAGAGGGATGTGTATTCTTAGTGGGGTCTTGGTCTATTTCAGATGTGTGCAGTAATCCGGTATGAAACCTTTCCTTTCTGCAGGAGGTTCCTGTAATAAAGACCAGTCACTGCGGCTCTGTCTCTTGGCTCAGGGTGACTGGTCTTGTATCCTCCCCCTCTTGTATGTTTCTGCAGCCTGCAGTGGGTGGGGCCTGCTGGGTCCCTCCCACAGCTCTGCTCTCTGCAGAGATTCTAAACCGCACAGTGATGTCAGTTGATGAGAGGTTTTGTGCCTGGACTTCATCTTTGAACGCAATCCCAATCGCATTACATAGTATCTTAGCACACCTCTTATTGACATCTACGCTGCAACCGCTGACTTTCTGCATACAGGTTTATGGAGGCTCCCTGAGCATAGCGCAGAGGTTTTTTTGTATATACCAGAAAGCATCTGACTATGTAGTTTCTCAAACATGCACACAGGTTCCTTTTTAAATGCATTTGTGACAGTCATTCTGAAGTTGAATTTTTCCATTTCAATGTTAAAAATAACTGCAAAAACGTTTTTTTACTTTTTGCGCAGCGTGGGAGAAAAGGTTTGGGTCCCCTGACCGTTTTTTTTGTGCCTCAGTGTGACCCTTTGGCAAAGTTCCATCCTTCCTGTACCAGTGACACTGACGCAAAATGTGAATGGGTATCTCCATTGGAAACGACTCTCTTTACTTAAAGTAAGCGTTTTTTAATTCTGTTTCTGCTCTTTGGAGAGATTTTCCCTCCTCCCTGTCTTGGTGAGTGTTGCCACAGGGAGTGATAAGTCTCCCTAATGTGCTTACAGATCAGTTATAAAGATCTTACACAGGTTCTGAATGCTCCCCACTCTGCCCAAATACAGGGCACAGCAACCTTTTTGATCAAAAAAGTTATTGGAATTTCGTTTGGATTTTGAATGGCTCAGGGGCAACCAAAAAGTACCATATGTCATACAATATGTGCATGGGTTGTGTAAAGTTCATTGGCCATCCAGGGAGTCCGTGTTAGTAAGTTGGGTGCAATGAAGGGTGCTTTTTGTTCCTTTTAAGTTCCTTTTTATGTGTAGGCTTTTGCTAGAACATTTAGCATACTATAAGCACCTCTGCTCTGTAGCAAAAGGCTGAGAGTATAATATACAGGCGCTCATGAACCTTAACCTGGTATATCCATTTAAAAAGTTGGTAACACTTTTTTTTTTTTTCTTTTTTTCTGAGAAGTCCTTTTATGTCACGCTTAAAGGCATTTGTCTTGGATGTATTTCTGCTAGGTACGCTTTATCTCAAAGAAGAACTCTGGGCATAAATCTTCTTAACCCTTGCAGTGGTGCTCATTTATCATCTAGGGACAAAAGTAAGTTATACTCTCCTGCACTCCAACAATGGAATGTCCCTCGGCATCCTCACATCCTATACACTGTATAGGATGTGATGACTCCCCGGACCTTAGACCACTGGAGCGGAGGAGGAGCGAGGCTGAAGGGTCTAGGAGCCAGCTGACTCCAAGGTGCAGGTGAGTATATCTTTTCATCCCTAGATGAAAACAAGCACCTAACACTTGCAGTGGGGCTACTGCCGCACTGCAAAGGTTAACGAGAGTTCTGCCCGGAGTTTTTCTTTAATGCAGCATAACCATGGATAATTTGCCAACTGTTTTTGTTTTAATCCTAGCGATTTGGAGAACAGGGTACTTGGCTGTCTGTCTTGAATCTTTCATGCTTGCTTTCAGGGAAGAGATGGAGGCTCTTGAATGTGTATGCCTTAATACAGCTGTGTGCACATGGTCAATAGAAATTTTTTTATTCTGGAGGTGACGGAAACAAGGATGTGCATATTCTCCTTAATATCTGAAGTAGAAGCGTTTTGTATCAGCGGCCTAGTCACAGGGCTGTGTGGTTTGACTTCAATGAAAAGACGTGCTCAGAACTCATTCCACAGTGATGAGAAGAAAGGTAATGCAGCTGCAGCCTGGCAAAGCTTTTCAAGTAAATTACCTTCAAGGGAGGAAGCTGCATTAGTTTGCTTGCTCAGCTGAAGTGAGCCAAGGAACCTCAAGTGGCCCTGGAGTTGGTCTCAAGCAGCTAATCCTTGGAGTCAGAGTGAGGGTTTTGCATTCTTCCCTCTTTTGAACCGTGTACCACCCCTTTATGAATCTAAACCTATCTGTGTGTTACCATCTGCCCTGTATTTTCTGCTAGCAGGAACAACGTTTGAGAGATGTCGGCTGAACATGCTTGTGCACAGGCCCTTAATGCTACATCTATGAAGCTGCTTGATAACCATTCATGTAAAGATGCAATATTCTAGTTTCAACAGACGACACTGATTTTAAGTACACCAGTCAGAGAGACCTGTAGTCTGCCATTGCTGAGCTCTTCTGAAAATGAGTTGCCTGGTTCAAGCTCACATGCTTCCTTCAAAAGTTTGAGCCAGTGACCCAGAACAAGCAAGGTAAGGAGTTCTGACTTGTTCCAGGTCAGTGACACAAGGTACTGAAGAGCTCTGCCTAACAGCCAGGCAACTTGAACAATCAAATAACAATCTCGAACAATCTGCAATGGCAGCACCCAATTTCTTTTCATGACGGATGTATTTTAAAGCCTTTTGTCATTGCGCACTATTTACCTGTGTTTTTATGGCTGCCCTCATCCTATGCCTTGTTGATTTAACTTTAAGGATCATAATTGTAAATAGCATAGACTCTTGTTTCATGCCAAGCTAATTCACTTCCCAAACTTTCAGGGTTGAAAAGAGGGCTGAAGTCCCTGCTTATTATTTTTTTTCACGTGTAAGATTGTTCTTTAGTCAATAAACAGCACTTTTTCTTGGAATGTGGCTGGGCAGGATAATGTTCGGTTTAATGATAACACATCTGTAGAACTATAGTTGTAATGGCCAAAGAAAGCTCTGGTTGGCTTTTTTTTTTGTCAATTTTGAACACCACGATTGGCCTTTCAGATGTTCCAGGCTCACTTCTAATTAACCTCAGTCATTTCAGAACGATCAAGTTTGAAAAGAAGGTAAAGTTCTGTTCCTTTATTTAATCACTTTGTCTCAGAATAAACCGTGTATTCCTTTCCAATTCTGCTTCAGCATTATTTGACTGTTCAGTCATGTTAGGTTGAATATGTTGTGCTTGCAGTTGGTTTGAATATCAGCAAAAATATGAGCGTTTTGAGTATCCTTGAGTGGATTGCTAAAGTGTTTCAGCCTTTCATTGGAATCAGTATTAGAATTCTTCCATCCTGGCTTCCAGCATTCTGTGAGTGTAAAAAACAATGGACTCCGTTGTTCTTTCCGTTCACAAAACTTTGGAGAAAGTAGTTTTTTTTTTTTAAATATGTTTTTTTTTTTTGTTTTTTTTTTTTTTTTTTGTTTTTTTGCTGAAACGAGACCTTTTTATGCATTGGTTTTGTATAGTATGTGCGCTCTACAGACACTTTACAAAGTCTGACCATTTATAGTTTAACTTAGAAACTTGTATGTGTCGTACCACTTTTTCAAGACCAAGTACTTCCCCTCATGTACTTGCCGATACCAATTACGATCCTTTTTTTTTTAAAGGGACAGGTGACTTTAAATGATCGATAGTACAACTACATGTTATGTACTATGGATCATGATTTAACCTATTCATATTAGCAGGGGAGAATTGTAAATCTATTGCTATAGTGTAGTGGAGGTGTGCTGATTATATGTACTACATATAATTTACACACGTCCAGTACACTATAGAAATAGATTTACAGCCAGCCCCTCCCAGCTTCCCTCACTCAGTTTCACTCCAATCCCTGTTGCCTTAAACGGTGCCTCTTGTAGTCGGCGCTGGGCAGGATTGCTGCATTGCGTCTCGGTGCTCAGCTTGTGGGAGGCACTCACAATTCTGCCCTGCTAACATGAATAGGTTAAATCATGTTCCATAGTACATAACATGTAGTTGTACTACGGATCATTTAACCTATGCATGTTAGCAGGAGAGAATTGTAAATCTATTGCTGCAGTGAATTGCGAATATGTACTGTACATGTACTACATATAGAATACACTACACTGCAGTAATGGATTTACAATTATTCCCTGCTAACATGAATAGGTTGAATGATCCATAGTACATAATATAGTTACATAGTATTTGAGGTTGAATAAAGACATTAGTCCATCAAGTCATGACAAATATGTTCATAACATGTAGTTGTACTATGGATCATTTAAACTATTCATGTTAGCAGGTCAGAATTGTAAATCTACTGCTGCAGTGCATTCTATATGTAGTACATGTACAGTACATATAGAATACACTGCAGCGCAATAGATTATTTT